TGGACGCCCGGATGCTCTTCGACCCGTTCGAGCTGGACACCAGCGTCACGCCCGTGCAGATCCGGGCGGCGCTGTGCCAGCGCGACTTCACCAGGGCCATCCTCATGGCCTTCCGGCTCAACGAGAGGAAGCTGCTGCAGGAGGCCCTGGAGTCGGTGCCCTGGGACGAGAGTGAGCCCGGGCCAGGGCTGGGGGGGCCCGCGGGGCCGAGGGGGCCCTGCGGCCACACGCGGCGGCCAGGTGTCTGCACGTGCAGAGCTGTGGGCGCGTCTCTCCGGACAGGTTCTTTGCGGGCTGAGTGGGACTTCCTCCTTCTCTTCCAGTTGAGGTCATCAGCTCCTCCCTGCCTGACTTGTACGTGGAGAAGGCGCTGGAATTCTTAGCTTCATCCTTCGAAGAGTCTCGCCATCTCGAATTCTACCTCATATGGACTCAGAAGCTGCTTATGGCCCACGGACAGAAGCTCAAGTGCAGGTACGGCCCGCCGCTCCCTTGGCCACCCGTCGCTGGGTCAGCTGTCTGTGTGGGTGCACAGGCCGGGGAGGCTCTACGAGCGTACAGCGTGGAGCAGGTCCGGGTGGCCTCGTGGTGGCCGCCCACGCTGAGGGACGTGTCCTTTGCAGAGTGGGGACACTGCTGCCGGCAGTTCAGTTCCTTCAGAAGAGCATCCAGCGCCACTGGGACGACGTCTCCAAACTGTACGTGTCTCGGGACTGGCTGATGGGCAGGGTGGGGCGTCCACTGTCGCCAGCAGGTTCCGGTTGGTTCCACGCCAGGGCCGCTCTCTGTGTTGTCTGATTTGGGGACAGAAGGCCCCAGCGTCGGTCTGACTAACGTGAGTCCCGTGTGCCCTCGGCAGCTGTGACTGGAACCGCTACAATGTACAGTACGCGCTGGCCGTCTCTAAGCAGCGGGGCCTGAAGCGGCCCTCTGAGCCGCCGGGCAGCGAGCAGGAAGCAGATGCACCCGAGGGCGATGACAACAGCCTGCACCTGCCCAGGAGAGGACCTGGGGATGGAGACGGGCCGCTGGCCTAGAGCTGGCCGCCTGCAGCCCTGCTGGCTTCGGCTGGGACGTTGGGCAAGGTGGGACCTCCACCGCGGGGGGCAGCGGGGACGCAAGGGCACTGCTGCCAGGACTCGCTCTTCTGCAGGAACCAAACGCGGCCACGGGGTCAGTGCGTGAGCTGACGGGTCCCTGGCAGGCGCGGGCTTGGCACCCAGGGCCCAGGAGCGTCTGCCGTCGAAAGCACCTTGCGGAGAGGTGAATGGGCTCACGTGTATAAACTCAAACTTTGTATGAGTTTTTATGTTTTTAATATAAAGCTTTGATAACGTGTATCTCTACAACGTAGGTATTAAGTCTGACCTCTGAATTTGAAATGTTTGTAATGTATCCTGGTGTGATTGTCGTGCTGGGGGATCAGGGCCACCTGCCTGCTGGCACCTCTGTGCCGGGGAACAGGTGAGCAGGGCAGGTGGTTCGCCCTCACGGCCCAGCCTAGGCTGCCAGCCCCATCGTCCCCGCACAGGGTCTGGCAGGGAACATCTGCTTGACTCTGACCTTGGAGAGGGGCCTGGGGCTGGGGCTGAGCCTGGGCAGGCTTTCCAGGGAGACCCATCAAACCTGCTGGCCAGCTTGGAGAGGAAGACTCCATCCTGTGATGCCCCTCGGGAAGGGTCACTGTGAGGGCAGCCTAGGCCACAGCCAGGCCCCTGGTCCCTTGGTAGCTACAGCTTCCAGGGTCAGGACACAGGGCCCAGCCTGCAGGTCACCAGAGTGCGGCCACGAGTCACTGGACCATTATTAGTATGGATGGCGGGCAGGTTCTTGCTAGTCTGGTGGGGCTGTGTGCTCTTCTGTCTGCTTATGAAACTCATGTGCTATCTTGGGATGGAGTCATTTCCTTTGTAAACATAATGACGTCTATCAGAGCCTCTACTCTTCTTGGGTATCAAGGTAGAAAATAAATACATTGATAGTCGTGTATTTTCAGATGCAAATAACTCATGTGTAAACTATCCCCGTGGTCCTGAAAGGAACTGGGATGGACCCTGTTCTTCTCCTCCTCCCATCTTCCTGCCAGGGGTTGTCACACACCGAGCTTGGGACCCAAACACTCTGACTCACCTCTCAAAAGCCACTGCAGCAGGGGGTGATAGGCAGTGTTGGGTCTGTCATCCTAACCCCCAGCTGGGGAAAGATACACTCAGCCCTGCCAGCCCTCTCCCAGGCTCCCCCACTAATGGTTAAAGGAGGACTACATAATATAACCTTGACCTTCCTCTAGACGCTACCCTAATACCCACTCCTGAAGCAAAGTTCTCGTGTAATTTGACCTCCCCTTGCACCCTCTACAGTTCACTTAACGATGTACTTAAATGCCTCCCTACAGAGCTCGGACCACCGTTCATCCACAAGCCAGGACACCCTAGCAAGTGGGAGCCACTGAAAACTATAACCTTCCAACTTGTAACTATTCTGTGGAGGAGTCCAAAATGAGTCAGCAGAGGAACTGACCCAAACCAAAGATGGTCTAGCCTTCCAAGGATACTCCCAACTTGCCTGGAGGGCCTTAGAACACACTGGCTACCAAGAGCCCATCAAATGGCAAAAATGGGTTCAAGCACACCAAAATAAGAGTTGGTGTAATAGGCCCCCAACAAAGAGGCCTGCAGCCCACCAGACCCTGCGAGCTGGCCCCACTCTCACGTCACTCACGTGCCACTAACACACCTTCGGCCCCAGCCCGTTGGCCTCTGCAGAAACACACGTGGATGACGATGTGGACACCAGGAGGATGTGTTCCTCTGTGGGGCCCAGAGAGCCACAACCTAAAGGAAATGTCCCCAGCAAAGCCCAGTGGGGTCCCGGGAAAAATAAGATGGAATCCAGGGGATACGGTCCAACCTCTTCTGTGTTTATTCTAGTTTTACTTGCTTGTAGGGGGCCGTGTGCAGAGGCTTCCCACCTAACATGTCGGATTAGCGTTCCCAGTGCAAAGCAGCTCTGCGTGACAGCCAGACTGGGTGAAACGTGTGCAGAAGTGCTGCACCCGCCTGACCCACAATGACTCCACCCCTCCCTCTGCCAGAACCCTATAAAGCAGCACCCCCCCGGGCCTTTCAGGGGAGACCCCGTGCTGTAGAGCAAGCTCCCATCTCTCCATTCTTCGGTCAAAGAATAAAGCTTTCCTTTGCTTCTCAACTGAACTTGGTCTCTGTCTACTGGCACGAGCGACACTGGGCAGAAGGACACTTACTGGTGCCCGACTCAAGAGGGTCGGTAACGTGTCCACCCCAGGAGAGCAGACAAAAGGAAGGCGGCCTCAGACTTGATAATCACGGGCACAGGCTTAGCACCAGGATGAGCAGCCCCACGGGGAAGGGGCTACCTATCACGAGGCCACCCTCCAAAATCTACCTGCCTCAGTGGAGGAACTGGCCAAAACGCCAGCCTCTAGTTAGACTGACCAAAGATCATGGTGAGTTCCATAGCCACTGTAGCAATGGATGACAACAGCCTTCGGTTACCCCCTGGCAGAACAAGGCGGTGCCTGTGTGGCTGCAACACCCTGCTGGTGCATGTGGACAAATACCACATACCACCCAGTGTAAAGGAAATAACACCAACAGGCCAGCTGGTGACACAGCATTGGTAATGGCGCCCCGGAGGCATGGGGTTCTATATAGGGCTTTCTCCTCGGTAAGTCGGCCGTTTACTCCATCCACTGACACTTCCTTTAGTCACAGCGCCACTGATTCTTCTGTTGGGCCTATAATTCTTAACTTTCATGTCGTTTGTCTCTCAAAGACTGCAGGTCTTTGAGACCTGCAGACACCAGATTATTCCTCTGTCGTGTCAACCTTGAATTGGGGGCATACCAACACCTCCAACAGTCCAGTTTGAATACCCTAGAATGTGTACAGCTAGACGTCAAGCTGTCTCATTCCTCAAGCCCCTGCTGGGCCTTCGCCCTTAGCAGCAGAAAGCGGCTAGAGCGGTGGTCACCCCTCATCCCTCAAGACTGAGCAATGATCCAAAGACAGGCATGGACTGAAATCACCACCTGTGAGTTACAACGATACAAGTTTCTACAAGGTAGAAACAAAATGACGTAGAGAACACCAAACTCCTGCAGAGGACCAGGGAAACAAACTTGCTGACAGCCCCGCCGACCGAGCGTTGCGCAGGCACACTGAAGGGCTAGAACGAGGGACTACAATAGTGACCTTTAGACGTCACGGGCCAAAACCCCACTGCATGTTACACCCCGTACCGCCAATTTGCACCTGCGACCGGTCAGAGGCGTAACTAGCAGCCCCAGCGCCTGCGCAGGAGAGCTCTTGATACTTACACTGAAACTTACACTAACTTTCCACCAATCATATCCGAGCCCCCCTCCCCTTCTTGCTCCCGACTTCCTGATAAATATCCCCTCAGCAGCCCCCGGGGACACAAATCTGAGCTTCGCACCGCACCTCTACGCCCGTTCTTGCGTGGCCCTCCTGTGATAAACCTCTTTCTCTGCAAAGACCTGGCCTCATATCTGGCCTTCCCTCTGCACAACCAGATGGGTTACAAAAGGACCCACGTCAACAGAAAAGCGAAGAGCAGGAGGGGAGGGGCGCCGGGCCGCTGCAGCGGGAGGGCCTCACTCCGGCCTGGACTCAGCGGCCGGGAAAGGGGGGCGCAGATGAGAACTGGACACTTGGGCACCGGCCACTCGGTGTCGCGGAGTCACGTTGAGGCCTCATGACGACACAAGTTAACTCCAGACCCCGCATCTCAGCACAGCGCTTCTCGGCAACCGCGACCCTGCGCGCCTCCCGGCGACGCCGCCGCGGGGCGGGACGGGGGCGGTGCCCAAAGCCGCGTGGACCCGCTGCGGAGCCACGAGCCCTTGCCGGGTTGAGCGCGAGCCACGGGCGACTGCGCAGGCGCGGCCCCGCCCACCGGCGCGCTCGCGGGCGGGCGGCGGCAGTGCGCAGGCGCGGCTCCGCTGACCGTGACCCCGCGACCCCGATGTCCTCGCGCAGGATGGCGGCCCTCCGGGCTCTGGTGGCGTCCAGGCTAGCGGTGACCGCCGCCTTCGCACCGCGCCCCGGCCTGCGTGCGCTGCCGTTCGGCGGAGCGGCGCAGTCCCCGCGCGCGGCCTTCCACGCCTCCGCGCCGCGCCCCGTGGCCAGGGTCGCAGTGGTGAGCGGACGGGCGGGGCGCCGAGGTCGGCCTTCCCACCCTCCCCGTGCCCGCGGGCGGCCCCTCCGACCCCCACCGCCTCCCTCGCGCTGACCTCCCTCTCCCCCAGGTCGGCCCCTCCCCCTGCGGGAGGCGGTCGGCCCGCCCGGTGGACCGCGTGACCCCCGTGACCGGCCCTCCATCCCTGCAGGTGCTGTCCGGATGCGGGGTCTACGACGGGACAGAGCTCCACGAGGCCTCATCGTAAGCCCCTGGGCGGCTCGCCTTCGGGAGGGGCGGTCCCCCTTTTCCTGAACCGTTCGGAGAAGCCTTCCTGCTGGTTAGGAAGGCAGAGAGGACTGCTGGACCAGACTCAGGGCGGCGCGAAGGACAACGTTTAAACTCAATGCGTGTAACGTACAGGGAGATATAAAATGAGCTTTTTAGTATCACCTGTGATACTAAACACAGTGCTAACCACTTAACATTTGTTCTGCTGTTTTTCCACACCCACGTGTTGTAAACATTGGGATAAAACGGTCCTGCGTGTTGGAAATCAGAGCACTCTTTTCCGTCTTTACAGCATGATTTTTAAGGGCTGTGCAGTGACCTCGCCGTAGACCGATGTCATTGGGGTAGCCTGTCAGCTGTTGCCGAGTAGTTTGTCCTTTGATCGATTTACTTAAAAAGTTCCTGTGAGCAGGACCGTAGGGGCTGTCAGGTTCAGAGTTAGTTGAAGGGGAGAGTTAGGTGGTGGTTGGGGAACACACCCCTCCCAATTGCGGGGCCTCGCTGGTCCCCGGAGGAGCCTGAGGCTGGTGTCTGGGGGTGGCCGCTGGGCGTGGCCAGCGGGTGCTGGCGGTGGCCGGACAGAGAGTGAACTTTAGAGCGTTCTGGGCTGGTGGGTGGAGAGGGCCAGGAGTTTCCTGATGGGGGCTGAGCGGGGTGGGGCAGGAGAGAGGAGGCGGTGAGGAATAGCCAGCAGCTTGAAACCTCCCGGGCAGAGCAAGGAGTTGTAGGTCGAGTGCCCGCGAGGTTCCGAGGAGCTGAACCCCAGTCCAGGGGTCCCAGCCCTACCAGGGGACAGCTGTGATCTGTCTTGGGGTCTCGTGTCTCCTCTTTCTCTGGAAGTGGGTAGTGACAGCACTGCCAGGGACAGGTTTCGTGCCAGTGTTTGGACTCGGACCTGCCGCAGAGCAACCCTTGGTAGATGCTGGCATCAGTAGCAGCCCCCAGGGTTGCGTGGGTGTCTCCCATCCCCATGAGGGGAAGGTTGGGGAGACCAGGAGCTGAACTCACTTTGGAGACTAAAAGCCCTCCTCAACCCCTCGAGGCCATCGTGGATTGGCCCATGGGAGGAAGAACACCCAGAAGGAGCCTGGGAATGCAGACATCCAGGCTGTGGCAGTTGCCGGGTCACCCGTCCCTACGGCCTGGTCTGTACAGGGAGCTTGGGGGCGGCTAGCTGGTCTCCACAGGCCAGTTCAGTGACAGCGAACTCAAGTAGAGGGCGTTGGGGTCGTTAGCAAGCCAGTCGGGACTTCTTGCAAAGCAAGGAGGTTGTCAACCTGTGTGAGAAGCGTGTGCCTGTCAGTCACCTAAAACGCTGTTTTTAAACACCCGGTGGCAGGTAAAGCTGGGCCAGGCACATGTCAGAGTCTGGTCTGATTCCCTCCTGTGCAGGATACTGGTTCACCTGAGCCGTGCGGGGGCCGAGGTCCAGATCTTCGCTCCTGACATCCCTCAGATGCACGTGATTGACCACACCAAGGGGCAGCCTTCTGAGGGCGAAACCAGGTACGGGCCCCTCCTCGTTGTCCTTGAACGTGCACAGGTTGAAACTCCCCAAGAACCTGCGCGCGGTTGCTTCGTCTTAGCTGGGAGCCGAGTCCACGTTTAAGGGGACCTGACAGCAGTGGTCCTGACGCTGTGCCGGACCCCAGGACGTCCCTCGCCGTCCAGCACTGTTGGAGCAGTGGAGGAAGGTTCCCCCTGCGTGAGCTCCTCGCGCCTTCATTCTCGCCGAATGCCCGTGCGTTCATTTGGTCTCAACCCTCGTCCACCCGTTTGGACCCACGTATCTGTGAGCAGCTCCCACCAGCATTTCTGTTCCTGAGGGGAGTGCGGCCCTGGCCTCACATCCACTGAGACCCACCTCCCCGCTCCGGCCTGGCCCAGACTGCAGGGCGATGGCCCCGACTGCAGGGCGATGGCCCCTGGGGGCTGTGGTTCCCAGGTGCCCTCCAGCGGGTGCAGACAGTGAGAGACGGGGCGGTGGGAAGGAGCCGCGGTGCCGTCTCCTGGGGCTGCGGCCCAGTCAGGACCCGGGCCCTGGGCCGCGCAGCCGGGGCTGGGAGGAGCTCCCTCTGCGGCCGGTCCGGGGCTGCCTCACTCGTCCCTCAGAGTTGCTTCTTAACGCTGCCCCCGCGGTTCCATCACCGTCCGTTCCCAGCGCCAAATGCTCCCTGGTGGCCCTGCCTGACACAGGAGTCCGGGTGACTAGGCGTGGTGGTTCGGAAGCGCCCATCTGAAAGGGCTCCAGGGGACGTTTCGAGCACAGACCGGCTGTGGTCACTGTCGCTGTGGCGCCTTTTCTGGGGAGCAACCCGCACCGCCTGTGAGCCGGGAGAACAGGTCCTCTTGTCTCGTGGAGGCTCCTTCCTGACCCGTTCTCCCGTCTGTCCACACACTGAACCTGCTGGGGGCCTCTCTCTGCTCTTCCCCAGGAATGTTCTGACTGAGTCCGCGAGGATCGCCCGCGGCAAGATCACCGACCTGGCCAAACTCAGCGCTGCTAACCACGACGCGGCTGTCTTCCCCGGGGGCTTCGGAGCCGCCAAAAACCTGTACGTGTTTCGGCTCGGGGCTCTCCTGCTTTTCCCCTGGACTGTTAGACGGGGATGCGGTGGTGATGGGAGCAGCTCCTGGGGGGTCTGGCCCAGCCACGACGCAGCTGCCCCATGACAGGGAACCCCGGTGGGAGGAGGCTCCTGGGACCTGGCCATCCAGGTGTGGTGCTAGGGGTCTCGTCACATCAGAACCCGTCCGTGTACGTGTTCTCTGCAGACACCTGCTCTCCTGTGGACCTTGCAGCGCGGAAAAGTGCCTTTCTGGTTGGGCCGTTGGGAGGATGGTTCTGACCAGAAGAAGGGAGATCTTTTTTTTTGCTGTTTGGGTTGTTGCCACGGTAACTGGACCTCAAGCCTAGGAGGCCGTCACACCGCAGCTGCGATGTACTTTGGGTTTCAGGTTCTCTTTTTGTTCTCTCGTTCCTTTCTTTCTTCTCCGCGTTTCATGGAAATTCTCTTGCGCTGGCCTTGCTGGCCCAGCACGTCCCTTCCGACGTGGCGCGGGGCTGCTGCTCCCGTGACGGAGGGGGCTCGAGGGCTGCAGGAAAGCACCCAGCAGCTGCGCCCCGCAGCTTTGGGGCTTTAAACACGGGGCAGCATGCGTCACAGCCTGGACTACGTGCGTTTTGGTCAGTTGACCGCTCGGTCATTGAGGTTCCCGCAGCTGGCGCTCTGTCTGTCCGGGCACCGTGCACCCAGGAGCGGGGGCAGAGGCGGTTACGTTCCCTGAGGTCCACCTCTGCGCTTGGTCCTTCCGCGTCCTGACATCTTGAGGCTCCTTTCTGCTTGCGGCCGTCACCAGAGCACCTCTTTTTTCCACATTCCCACCAGTTTTCCCACAATCCTTCCTCCAGCCTGGACCCCTGCCCTGCCTCGTGTCCACTCCCTCTCCCAGAGCCAGCCTGGGAGTGCTTTCCCTGCATCGCCATCCTCCTGAGCCCCCTGGTGGGAGATGGCGGATCACAGTCTGCGTCGGCTGGCCTTGTTCTTCTTACGGAACCGGGTTTCTTCCTCTGAAAGATGAGCTGGATTCACAGACCCTGTGCCTTCCCTCAGCCCTTAGACCTCGCCTGGTGTGAGAGTAGCTTGAGGGTTCGTTGGGGTTATGTCCCTGGCGTGGCTGACACCCTGCCTCGGGTGACTTAGTGGTGGTGCGTCTCGGTGTACAGGGAAGCAGGGCCTTGGGTCAGCATCCGTGTCTGTGACCTCCCAGACCCCTGGGGGAAGCTGGGATTTCTGGCCGCTGGTCCCAGTCTTTCTGACCTTTCCAGAGGAAAGGCCAGCTCATCAGCGGTCTGTGCGGTGCACAGGGGGCAGCAGGCGAGGTCTGTATGACACATTCACTGTGGAAACCCAGTTCTTCCTGCTTGGGACCCCAGGATCACCTCTGGCAATGCTGCCAGCTTTTCATTTTCCGAGAGAGTCACGTATATGTCTACGTTAAAAATCCAGCCAGGTGGTAGCCTCTCGTTCTGCACTTGGTGTCTTTCACTTAACGCTGAGGCTTGTCCCTTAAACGTCTGGCAGCCGCACACACAGATCCCGTCGTGTAGGCGACCCAGTGCTGACGGGACTCCCGGACTTCCCGTTCTCTCTTTCGTCTTACACCTTTTGGAGGTACGACTGACGTACGTGGGTTTAAAGTATGTAACCTGAGAAACCACTTCAGGGTAGCCGGCATCCGTCACACCCGCAGGTTGTCCCGTCGTGCGAGCGACGCACGGGGTGCCCGGGGCAGAGGCGTCAACTCCGTGAACGAGGCGGAGGAAGCCCGGGATGGGGCTCCTGGCCGAGAGGCGTGGCCTTTGAAATTTGATGGGTCTGAGTTTGCCTTCCAAAGAGACAGTACTGGCGTGAGCCCGCCGACCGGGAGGGAGGCCGTTCCAGACCCCCCCGCGGTCCTGCTGTGGTGAAAGAGACGGCCTCTTGTTTGGGTTTCTCTTCCTTGTTAGTGAAGGGCAGCATCTGTCGCTGGTTTGGGGCCAATGGCACGTCCTGCTGTTCCTGGGTGGGCCGAGCTCACGGCCCGAGCGCCTGCGTGTCAGCTTCCCCTTCACCTCTGCTGGCCTCCCTGCCTTTAACCTCCCGCACTGCTTTATGTTTCAAAAAATAGAAAAAAATACACACGTGTACGTGTAATTACATGAAAGGCCGTGCACACGTACTTGCACACACATGTCACTTTCTGCAGTTGCTGAGAAGGTCGTGGAGCACGCAGGATCCCGGGGGGTGGGGAGTGGGGCTGGGGGCTCCCCAGGCAGGCAGGTGTTGAGCCCTGTGGTCTAAGGAAGCCTCTTCTCGTGGCAGGAGCACGTTCGCCGTAGACGGGGGCGACTGCAAGGTGAACAAAGACGTGGAACGTGTCCTGAAGGAGTTCCACCAGGCCGGGAAGCCCATCGGGTACGTGTGGCCCAGCGGGCCCGGCAGTGGTGGAGGGAGGGCGGTGGCCGAGGCCGTGGCTCACAGCCAGGAGCTGGCGCCTGGAGCTGTGTGGTCTTGGAGACCCTCAGCCCCTTTCCTTGTTATAACTGAGGGGGTTTCGTGTGATCTCACAGGTGCCTTCCTGCTCTGAAAATTCTGTGGTCGTGTGGTTACGTTAATTTCTCCTGATGACTTAGGAGGGGAGGGGATGATCCTCTCAGGGTCTAGAAGGTTCCCAGGTCCTTCCGTGGCCCCCAGCCTTTGCCAGTCCTCTCCCCATGCCTGGCCTCCGCCTTCCCGTCCTGGCTTGCAGCAGCCTCTCGGCTAGCTGGCCCCTGTCCTTCCTCATGCCACGGCTGCCGTGAGCACCATTCCCGACCCCTGTCGCTCTCAGCTGCCCTTCCTTGGGGACCAGATGCTGCGGTGGCCACACACTGGGCCCACATTCACGGGCCCAGCCACTGCTCACAGCCTGGCCCGGGGTCCTCGGCCTGGCAGACGGGCGAGGCCAGTCGTAACCCACACCAGGAGGCGCTTGCGGACGAGTGGCGGCGACCCCACCGTCAGACCTGCTTGTCAGGCTGCCCGTCCCACAAGCGTCCTGGGGGGGGGCCCTCGGTGCTGCTGTACCACGGGCGTCGGCGCACAGCGCTGGTGCTGGGGCGTGTGGGTCGCACACTTTGGGGTCATCCCTGGCTGGGGAAGTCCTCCCAGGAGCACAGCGGTGCACGGATGCACTAAGAACAAAATCTGCCGGGCTTTCCATCACATGGCTGCTCGCTGCCTCCCGTTGGAAACTGGAGAAGAATGAGGGTGTTAGAGCATTGGGTCTGAACGGGGCACAGAGGCTGCAGAGGACAGTCCGCCAGGGGCAGCGTCCTTCCCAGACCTGTGGCCACTCACTGGAGGCCCTGCCCGCTCAGCGTCGCAGGCACCCCCACCAGCGGCCGTAGCCCAGGGGCATGCCTGCCCTTGCGGCGCCCAGCCGACCACCTCCTGGGGGCCCGCTGGGGCAGCACCGATGTGTGGGGGTGAGCGCCCGGGGCGGGGACCCAGCTCCCTTTCTCTAAAAAGTCAGCACGACAAACGGGACAGAAGCCCAGCAGATTGGCCACCTCACGGCAGGCACCCTGTCCACTTGAGTAAACGGGCGCCTCTCAGCTGAGCTGGAGAAGAACCCAGGTTACCCTGGGGTGGAGGGTGCGGGACGGTGACACGGTCCTGTACCGGCTGCCGTGTCGCTGTGGGCAGCTCCGTTCAGCCCCTCGTGCGGCAGGCAGGCTACGCGTCTGTCTTTAAAAGCAGCAGCGCTGTCTGGCCGCGTGCAGAACGCCCTTTCCGGGTCGGGGCACCTCGCGCCCCCTTTCCGGGCCGCCCGTCGCTCCTTGACCTCGTCAGAAGCACGGACAGAACGAGGGGTCCAGCCGGCTCTGCTGCCGGGCCCATGCTTCCCTCCGCGCAGTGCGGGAGCCCCCGGCCAAGGACGGGCAGGCAGCCCAGTCTTCGTCTCGGGCGTCGCCCGCAGAGTCAGGTGCCTGGGGACCTGCTGACGTGACAGATTCCCGAGATGGCCGTTGCGATGACGCTCACCTGCTCGGGGCTGAGGGGGTTTGTCTCGTGGTCCCTGAACAGGAGTTGTGGCAGTTGTCTTGGCACTGAACGAGCGTGTAGGTGTGTTCTCACCACGTTGTGTTGCGGTCAGCTCAGAGGACCAGTTGAGCAGACGGGGTGGTGGGCGCAGCCAGAGGGGTGTGGACCCCAGGGGAGGGGGACCGGCCCGGCTGGAGCAGCTGTGGCAGGCGTCACGCGTGTTCTCGGAGGAGCCCCGAGGGCAGGCGTCCGGCGTGGACCTGCAGGGCTTGGACGCCTCCAGGCAGCCTGCTCACGGGGACCTGGGGAGGGTTTGGCACGCCGCCAGGACAGGGCCCCTGGCTCCGCAGTGGCAGGTCAGGCGAGGCTGCTGCTTAGACCGTGTCCCGCAGCCCCCTGCGTCCCCTCCAGAGAAGGGGATGGGTCTCAGCCAGTCAGTACAGCTGGGCTTCTCTGTTGCTGTGTGACAAACCACCCTAGAGCTTGGGCCGAAGACAGCGCCGCCGTCTGTGGCCTTCTCTCCGGGTGGACCTTTGCACCCTGGGCACCGTGTCAGGTGCCTGGTGCGTGTCTGGCGGCCGGGGCTCAGCTGGCTGCCCTCCGCCGCTCTCCAGCCTGACGCCGGGTGCCTGGAGGCCGCCCCATGCTCCACTGGTCACAACTGCCACGGGCAGCCCAGGGGCAGGGGCAGGCTCCAGCCCGCGGAGCTGGCAGAGGCTCTGGCACTGGGTCTTCCGTCCCCATGGCATTGGTGTCTGTGCCCCTTTCTGAGGCTGACCGCATTCTCTAAGCATGACTTGCTGGGCCCCCGGCCTGGCGGCCACATTCACAGCCCTGAGCTGATCCTCCTTTCCTCGCCTTTCAGCTTGTGCTGCATCGCTCCCGTCCTCGCGGCCAAAGTGCTCAGAAGTGTCGAGGTCACCGTGGGCCACGAGCAGGAGGAAGGCGGCAGGTGGCCGCACGCTGGGACCGCGCAGGTCATCAAAGCCCTGGGTGCCAAGCACTGCGTGACGGGAGTGACCATATCCTTCCAGCAGCGGGGGCGATGTGGGAAACCGCCCTCTGGCCCCTCGGGGCCACCCTGGGGTGCTGCACAGCCGGGGCGACCAGGGCATGCGCGTGGAGGGGCGTAGCACCCGAGGCTGTGACCCCTCCGCCGTGCAGTGGTCACGTTCCCAAGTCCCCGCAGTGACGCTGGCTGAGCTCAGCACACCCCAGGCGGGGGGCTCGGTGGGTCGGGTGAGGAGACGGCCGTGGCTCGCGGCGGGTGGGTAGGGCGCTGCCTGTGGCGGAGGGAGAGTGAGGACCCGGTGCCGGGCCAAAGGCCGGGGTGGAAGGCGCGAGGGCTGCTTGTCCTTATCTGGTGGCAGTCCCCTGGGTGGCCCAGACGGAGGGCCACCCCCGGCAGCCTTGTCGCCCCCATTCTTCCTGCAAGCGGGTCCTCTGTGTCCTGAGGTCACCAGGGTGCGCTGCGGCTGTAGAGAGCCTCAGACCACAGGCTACCCACCTTCCAGCTCTGCGCCTGGACCCGAGGGTCTCCATGGGGGCCGGAGTCAGCAGCAGAACGGCGCGGGGCCCCAGGAGGCGCAGGAGACCAGCCCGTTACCCTCCGGGCGTCTGTCCTGGCCAGGGCGCGCTCCTCGGTGTGTCTCTACTTGCAGGCAGTTTCAGGCGTGAATGTCCCTCCCCTTCCAGCACAGAGCGGCCAGCCCCGGACCTGGGGCTTGGCGTTGGCTCAGGAAGCAGGTCTCAGGGAGGAGGTGAGGCGCCTCTGTGCTGAGGCTGGGGCCCGGGTCCGGTTGCCCCGTGCTCACAGCGGGCGTTCGGACAAGCCTCTAATGCAGTCTCTCGACGCGAAGGATGGCAGTGCTGCGCTGCCTTCAGGGTGGCCCCGGGGTCCCGGCTGGTGCTCGGGCGTCAGGCCCACGTCTGCAGCCATGGGTCCCGTGAGGCCCCCTGCTGGGACGTGTGTTAGGAAGCAGCCCGTGGGGTCAGGTTCCAGGGTTTTCAGTGAAAGTAGCGCAGGGGGTGCAGAAAACCCCTTCCAGGTGGCGCTGGGGTGGGGGTGGGGTGCGCGTCTGGGAGGGGGTGGGGTGGGGCGCGCGTCTGGGAGGGTGGGCGGCGCCTGACGCCACGCGCCGTCCGCTCCAGCTGTGCAGTGTTCTTCCGTAACCTGTGTGCACGAGGCTCACGTGGACCGGAAGAACAAGGTGGTCACGACCCCGGCCTTCATGTGTGACACGGCCTTCCACCACATTCACGACGGGCTCGGGGCCATGGTGAGCAAGGTGCTGGAACTCGCCAGCAAGTGAGGCCCTCGGCGCGGGGCTGCTCGCCTGTCAGCTTGGAACCGGGCAGGAATTGATTTCTTCGCTTAAACCTGCAGGCATTTTCTTTGTAAGGAGGGCGCTCGCGATACGCTCGGGGTCCGGGGTAGACTCCCTCTCAAGGAGTGAGGCCGGGGCGGCAGGGCCCGCCGTCTGAGGGGCGCTGGCACCTGGCCTCGTGTGCAGCTTCCAGCTTGAGGTCAAGTCTGCCTTTCTGCGCCAGCAGGAGGGCGAGAGAGGACGGCAGTCCTAGGCCGGGCTCGCGTCAGAGCCCCTCACTCAGTATTCGGAAGGAAACAGTCTTTAAGTTTGTAAATGTAATAATCAGGAAGCCAGAATGCCGCCTCCTCGACAATTAAAGCTTCTCTAACCTGGAGTGGGCACGTATGAATTAGACAGTCCGCGGCTTTCTAGAGCAGGCAGGCCCTTTGGGGAGAGGAAACTTCTTTCCGAAACAGACATGGGCAGTTCTGCTCCAGGCCCCCTGAGCCCAGCAGGTGAGGGCCACACACGAGGCTCCGTACCTCAGGCTCAGGTCTCCTTGTTTCAGGAAGGGAGGGTGCAGGAGCTCAGCCTGTGTGGACCTGCAGGTGGGCCCAGGCCCCGGGAGGGGGCGTGGGCCGTGCGGGAGGAGCGATGAAGTGTGAGCCGGCAGGCTGGCTGGCGCCTTTCTGTGGGCGTGTGGCTTCTGTCCCGGGGCGGCTCGCGGGGGGCTTCGCCCGTCACAGCGCAGCCCCGCTGGCCTGTCCTCCGTGACCCAGGGTGGCGCCCCGGGTGCTCGGAGCCGCCACGTCGTCTGGTCCTGAGAAAGCTGCCGGGGCCGACGCAGCGGGCTGTTCAGTTGGGTCCAGTCCACGCTGAGCTGTGTCCTGGTGGCCTGGGGGTGGAGTGCAGTCACAGGTCGCCCACACCGCCCCTCACCCTGCCCCACCGACGGACACGCCTCTAACAGTTTTCCAGGGTCTGAGGGAGCTCGGGGAGGGCCGGGCCTGTGGAAGGAGCCGTAGAGCCTGAGACCACGCCCACCTGATGCGCTTAGCTCCCTTGGTATCTCACGTCAGGCAGTCTTCCCTGCACGGCAGCTCTGTTCTCTGGTGGCCTGTCCTCCTCCCACGACGCTGGGTCCCATGGGACACAAGCCCCTGAGGCACACCTGCAGGCACCACCACACTGGCCAGCATCGTCCTTGCTCAAGAGAGCCTTGCAGGGCCCATTAGAGGTGAGGTTAACAGCTCATCCTAAGAAGTTTGTTCACTGAAACATTTTGTGCAGATTTGTGTGTGTGTGTGTGTGTGTGTACATGCACGTGCACGTAGAAGAATGCAGAATCACAGGTGTGCACCTCGGTGAGCTTTCATGGAATGACCTGCCACCTGGATCCAAAGACCACAGCATCACCAGCCCAGGTCCGCTCGGCACCAGGGGGATGCCCAGGCGATGGTGTGTGTCCTGGCTGCGTGACTTTCTTTTACAGAAACGTTTCTGGAGGGTTCTCCACTGGCCGTCCGTGTCCCGTGAGTGTGGCCTCTGGGGAGCGTGCCAAGGGTGTGGCCCCTGGGCTCCGGGTGTGGTGTGGTGTGTTCAGCTCCCGTGTGCCTCGCCCCAGGGTACGGGCATCTGGCCCTGGGGTCTGTTGGACCTTCTTTTTTCATTCCTGCCACCTCGGTGGCTGTGGAAGGTGTTCCCGTGGTTTTCTCCGGCCTCTCCCTCGTGTCCGCTGAGGCCCCATCTCCTCTCTGTTTATTTCCTGGCCCTTTGGGGACCCTCTTTGGCAAAGCGTCTGTTGGAGTTTCGGGCCGTTCGCTCTCGGTCGTCTGTCCGTGTTTGGTGATTGGAGCTGCTTTGTGCTCTGGTTGTAGGTCCTTCGTCAGTTCAGTGGGTCGCACGTGTTTTCTCCCACTTTGTCTTCGTTCCGAGTGGTCTTGATGAGCAGATCCTCCTGATTTAATGTTGGCCTGTTGATCACCCTTCACCATTTGTGTTTTTCTGTCTTTCTGTGGAAGAAAACTCCTTCCCGCAGGAATGAGGGCATTTTCCTGTGTCATCCTCGTGTTAACGGTCGTTTCGCCTCTGTGTTTAGATCAGCGGTTCGTCTAGAATTGGTGTTGATGAGTCATTCTGCTCTGCATTTGATTCATCGCTTCTGGAAATGCCAGGGAATGTGCCCACAGAGCAGAGTGGGCTTCAGTGGCCGAGAGGGGTCACCGCGAGGCCACCTGGAGCCCTGCCTGCTTGAGCTTATCTCACAGGCGCGGGGCGGGGGCGGGCTCAGGGGCAGTGGGGCATCAGTGCCCGAGGGGTGGAGACCCACAGGGAGCAGGCTGCCTGGATTCCACCTCCTCTGCTGCCACCTGCTGGGACCCGGCCAGAGGGCAGGCGGCTGGAGAGGGAAGGGCAGACTCACAAGGAAGTCCCCAGAGAATGTGTAGTCACTCGGTGTCACCTCGCAGTTCCCTGTTGTCCACCCTGGACTTTTCCACACGAAATGCCTGGTCGCCCGGTCCAGGATGGCCACTGCGGGGTGAAGTCCGGTGACAGCCAACACGCTGTCCTGTCGGCATTGCATCTGCCCGCTTAACCCTGGCGCCAGTCCTGGGTGGGGGTCCCCGAAGGGGGGGCCTGGGTCAGGCAGAAGGACCGGCAGAGAACCTGCCTCTGGAAATGTCTGAAACGTTCCAAAGCCCGAGAGGGGCCCCAGCAGCCCAGAGCCAGAGGGAGTCCAGGCACGAATTCACTTGACGAGGATTGAGCGCCTGCTTCTTGCCAGCAGTGTCGCAGAGCTGGGGGTGGGGGGGAGGGGACAGGGACACGACCCTGCACTCCCGGAGCCCGGGCTGGGGGATGGCGGGTCCGCGAGCAGGTGAGCCAGGGGCCTGAGGGTATCGGGGGACCCGCCGGGCAGGAGGGTGGTCAGGGAAGGGACAGGCACCATCTCAGCAAGGACCAGAGGCAGAGTGAGCAGGTGGCAGAGTGAGCAGCAGGCCCGACGGGGACGGGCCTGGGGAGCTCAAGGACAGCCGGGGCGTGTGGGTACCTGGAGGCTCCTTGGTGGGGACCAGGCTGCCGGGGGCTCTGCAGAGCCGTCCTTGGGTCTGGTGCAGGCTCCCAGGGTTGACCAGGCCTGGCTGGGTGGCCTCCTCCTGCGGGCACCACGGGCACCGCGGGGACAGGGCTGGTCATCTGCCTGTGGCCCTCCTGGACCCCACCGTCCCTGCCCTTTCCCCTGTATGATTGGGCCCCTTCGTGGGCACCTTTTCACTGCCCCTGCAGGCCCTTCCACCTGGAAAGCCTGGCCCCCCGTCTGTATCGCCAGGCCCCTCGGCCCTCAGCTCCCTGCCCCAGGGCCCCTCTGCAGAGGGCTTGCCACAGCTCACGGTCTGTGGCCTGTGTGTGCGCACGCCCATGTGTGCATGCGTGTGAGGCTCGCTGACCCGCGTGGGGTTTACTCGGAGGCCCCGTGCCGCCCTCACCTCAGCTGCAGGCCGTCCAGCAGAGCTGGACGACACCTGCCCTTCCACAGCTTCCTATTCCTGCAAGACTTCCTTGATAACACGTTTTTGGGTTTGTTTTAGATAAACTTTACTCTTTAGAGCAGTCTTAGGTTCACAGAAGAGTTGACTGGAAAGTACAGAGAGTCCCCATACCTTCCCCCACCCCGCCCCACACACAGCCTCCCCCACTGTCAGCGTCCCCACCAAACAGTGCGTCTGTTATAGTCGCTGAGCCTGCACGGATGCGTCGCCATCACCCTGAGTCCACAGGGTACGTGGGGCTCACTCCTGGTGTGTGCGTCCCACGGGTTTAGACAGACGTGTGATGACGCTTACCCACCACTGTAGTATCGTGCAGACTAGTTTGCTCTAGAAATCTGGGCCCCACCTGTGCATCCCTCCCGTCTTCCCACCCCTGGCAGCCACTGATCTTTTTACTGTCTCCGTAGTTGTGCCTTTTCCGGGATGTCCTATGGTTGGAATCATATAGTATGAAGCCTTTCAGGTTGGCTTCTTTCACTTAGTCTATACATTTAAGTTTCCTGCGTGGCTTTTCTTGACTCGATAGCTCATTTCTTTCTAATGTTGTAATGATACACCATTGTCTGAATGGACCACAGTTTATCCATGTGCCTACTGAGTAACGTCTTGGTTGCTTCCAAGTTTTGGCAATTATGAAAAAAGCTGATGTAAACACGTGTGTGCAGGTTTTTGTGTGGACGTAAGTTTTTAGCTCCTTTGGGTGAATACCCAGGAGCACAGCTGCTGAATTGCATGGTGAGAGTGTGTTTAGTTTGCAAGAGACCACCAGTCAGTCTTCCCCAGTGGCTGCACCATTTTGCATTCCCACCAGCAATGAACGAGGCCTTCACGTCCTCCCCAGCATTGGGTGTTGTCAGGGTGTGGGATTTTGGCCACACTAATAGGTGCTGGGTGGTAGCTTATTTGATTTTCCCTCTCCTAATGATGTTATGACATGGAGCGTCTTTTCATATACTTGTTTGCCATCTGTATATCTTCTTTGATGAAGTGTCTTTCCAGATCTTTTGATCTGTTTGAAAATCTGTTCATTTTCTTTTTGTTACATTTTGAGAATTGTTTGTATGTTTTGGGTAGCAGCAGTTGTTTTTCTCAGCCTGTGGCTTGTCTTCTCATTCTCTTGACCGTGTCTTTGTAGAGCAGAAGTGTTTGAGGTTTTTTTTCTTCTGGCCGCACCGTGTGGCATGCGGGATCTTAGTTCCCCGACCAGGAATTGAACCTGGGCCCTCGGCAGTGAAAGCGCAGAGCCCTAACCACTGGGCCGCCAGGGAATTCCCGGGAATGTTCAGTTTTAATGAAGTCCAGCTTATCAGTTCTTTCTTCCATGGATCATGCCTTTGGTGTTACATCTAAAAAGGCATCACCATATCCAGGCTCACCTCGGGTTTCGCTAATGTTCTAGAAGTTTTACGGTTTTGCATTTTGTTTATGCCTGTGATCCATTTTGAGTTAATTTCTCTGAGGAGTGTAAAGTCTCTGTCCAGATGCATTGTTTCGCATGTGGCACCCAGTTGTTCCAACACCTCTCGTTATCTTTGCTTCATTGCGTTGCCTTTGCTGTTTTGTCAAAGATCAGTTGATTTATGTGGGTCTGTTTACGTGGGTCTATTTCTGGCCTCTATTCTGTTGCATTGATCTAGTTCTCTGTTCTGTTACCCATCCTACACTGTCTTAATTACTGTAGCTTTGTAGTAAGTCTTGAAGTCAAGTTGTTCTCCTTCCGTATTGTGTTGTACATTAACCTTGTGTCCTGCAACCTTGCTGTAATTGCTTCTTTGTTCCCAGGAGGCTTTTTGTTGATTCTTGTCATCTGTGAATAAAGACACTTTTATGTCTTCCTTCTCCA